GCCTGCGCAGCGGGCGGGGCTCGCGAGGCAACATGGGACTTGCTCTCGACACGCCCACGTTCGGGCTCGGCAACGTCTCACAGCGTGGGCGCCCCCTCGTGGGACTGAAGCGCCAATGCACATGCGCCGCCAATGCACATGCGGCGTCCTCCGGGGTTTCTATGGAGTATCCCTGCTTACATTCTAAACACAAGCCCTGGCCGGTTTCGCTCAGAGCGTCGGCCTGCAGACTGAAGAGTCCAGGGTTCGATTCCGATAAAGGGCACGTGCCCGGGTTGCGGTCTCCATCCCCAGTAGGGGGCGTGCAGGAGGCAGCTGATCAATGATTCTCTCTCATCATTAATGGTTCTCTCCCCCTCCCCCCCTTCCGCTCTCTCTAAAATGCAATAAAAATATTTTTAAATAAATAAATAATAAAAGGAGACTGAATAAGTAAACTATTAAGGCCTGTGCCAAGTGTAGTGAGGAACAAGATGAACACAGCTGGGCTCTCCTGCAGAACTCAGGGCAGTAGAGCAACCAACCAACTACTCATAAACAACACCAACTCTTCCAGGATGCCTCTTGGATTGCTCATTTCCTACAGCCTTCTCTGGGGGGCCTTTCTTGGGGGGCCTGCCTGGGGCAGAGTAGAAGGCAGGGCTTGCCCCTGAGAGCCCCCATTTATAGAGAGAAGTGGTTCCTATTTGGGGCACAGGGTGCTCTGATCCTGTTCTGATGGTTTCATCCTGGTCCTGAGCACTGTTGTGTCCCTGAGGCACCTCTACTGACCAGGGCCCTGCTGGCTGCCCTCTGTGATCTCCACACCTGGCATGCATGGCCCCTGACCAGCACTAAGGCGGGCGGGTGCTGGTCATTTCCTGCCAGGAGCCGGTCCATCCTTGCTGTTTCAAGGGACCTGGCATATATGGCATACTGTTCTTAATATGTTTGCTCACCTTCTTGGCACTGTGTTTTAACCAAGGTCACCTCTCTGAGAAAGGTTGTTTCCCCAGGTAGGGATTTTCCCCTGAAGTTAGGTAGGGAATAAAACCCCTTAACTAAGTGCCAGGCGGGTAATTAATCACTTCAACTACAAACAATCATGCTTAAGCTACATAATCTTTACTCCCTAG